GTATTTCTGCCTTCAGGCCATGTAGACACCTTTCACGCCATTTCCTGCTTAAAACTCTTTACTCACTTCCCACCCTGTGCCTTGTAAAGTCCTCACCCGCGAGGTGCATTCACCCTTTGGATCCCCTAAGACTCACCTTCATTGTGTCTGCACCGCAGCACCGCAGCTCCAGTGCAAGAGTCCTCGCCCTGGTCCTGGGATTCCGCAGATCCACCCCTCCTCTGAGACACCTGCCCATCTTGCTCTCATTGAGCCTTGCCCTCTGCCCCACAGGCCTCCCCCTCATAAGCATGGCTTCCTCTGACCCAGCTTGAAGGAGGTGACTCGGGCCTGTCTGTTCACCTCCAATGTTCTTTTGTCCAGATTCCACTCCACTAGAACATGTGCTTTCAGTAGGTGGGCATCTTATTCCATCCCCTTCCCTGTAAATATGTGGCCAAAGGGGATCAGGAGAGAGACGCGATCAGGAGAAAGAGAGAGGAAATAGAAAAACTGAGAAGGAGTGAAAAGGATGGCTGAGAACCATGAACAGATGGCAACGCAGAGGATGGGTGGGGAATTTACAGACAGACACCGAGTGAAAGACAAAGCTGAGAACGTGTGGGGCAGGGAGCAGCTGGAGAAATGTAGAGAAAAGCTGCGTCTCCAGAGGGATGAAGACAGCAAGATAGGGAGAGGGGCAGAAAGGGGGAGGCTCCTCAGACAGAGTGGGGGAGAGGAGGAGGGATTTGGAGCCAGGGCAGACAGCAGTGTGGTGCTGGGACAGCAAGACGGGACAGCTGGTGACAAGGAGAGCATAGGGAGAACCACAGCATGGGGAGGCTTGGGATCTGGGGGTGCCAGAGAATGGGGACAAGGGGTGTAACAGGGAAGAGGGGATTTAATAGGGGGAGCAGACCGGGAGCACACATGAGGGAAGAAAGAGGCAGAAATATGTGGAGATTGGGACTGGAACAGTGAAAAGATTGGGCAGAGAGAGGAATAAGAGGTGGAAGAAGGTGTAGGAATGGAGCAGAACAGACGGAAGAGAAGGAAAGAAGCGAAGAAGGGGAGAAAGAGCAGGAGAGGAGGGGGGCTCAAAATGAGGAGCAGAAACCTGGGAGAAAACAGAAAAAAAGCCAGAGAGAGAAGTGAGGATGAGATATATACAGAATGAGAGGGACACACACAGGAAGGAAGAAGGCGGGGACCTTGGCTCAGGTGAGTGGTGAGTTGATTGAATATGGGTAACTTAGTTGTGACATGTTGATTTCTGTCTTTATAATCGAACAGGTTTTAAATATGCTTAAAATACACAGATGAAGATGAGAATTGCAAAACTCTTGTCTATAAGGCTATGCATTTCATAATTATGGCATCAGAGGTTAGCTTCCACTTATAACCTTTTCAACCAGAGGGCAGTGACTTGACTCATTCATTTGTGGGCCACCCTTTTCCTCCCTTTCCCTGGGATGGTGTTGGGTAGAGGCGAGAACATGAGTTAATGTAATACTGATTACATAATATTTAGTATTATATGATGCTGTTATTATAGTCAGTATAATAGTGTACAGTCAATATAATAGTGAACACGCAACGCGGAAAACTCATCACCAAAATCTGGAGGAACTTCTTCCCACCAGCAATGCATATTCCATCCTACACTAACTGGGTGACCTTATAGTTCAACTCAATTCTGACACTGTCCAACTAGAATTAGGATCAGATGCTGTTGACTGGTTGGTCAGTTCCACAGGGCTGCCCCCACTTCAAATGCCAGTCACAAGTCACAGGTTGGGACCTGAATTTCTGGGCAACCAAATGTAAATTGGGGATTCACTTGACTCCCCTCCTCAGGTTGTAGTAATCTGCCACAGTCACTCACTGAACTCAGGAAAACACCTGGTTTACTCAATTGTTATAAAGTATGTTGCAAAGGACACAGATGAACAGCCAGATGGAAAAGCTGTGCTGGCTAGTTATTCAAACCCAAGGAAAGTGTTAGGGAAGCACATTGATCAGGTCAGTCAGAGCGTACAGCATATGAAGTGAGGGCAGCCTTGTGCGACTGAGCTCTCAAGCTGTGGTGTCTGATTCTGTTTTGTAGACAGTGTCAGAATTGAGGAAAACGGCAGGACTCCCTACCTGGGAGTCCCTAGCTGGGAGTCTGCTGGAGAACCTGCCATTGTGGGGAAAATGACACACATTTTGGTGACTAGAGGTGAAACGTTCTGTATTGAGTGTCAGAGTAGTATGAACAATTTTTTTCCTCTCTGAACAGATCTCCAATGCATAATAAAGCCTTTTTTTCTTCTACTTTTCCATCTTTAAGACAAAAAATACTCTCAACTACATTTCCCTCTGTAATAAGTACCTATTTATGCTCTATTTAAGAGCATAATATACTAAAAACTAGTTTTACTTTGTCTTCAATTCTTTTTTTTTTTTTTAAATAAAAATATAGAGACAGGATCTTGCTGTGTTGGCCAGGCTGGTCTCAAACTCCTGGGCTCAAGTAGTCTTTCTACCTCAGCCTCCAATAGTACTGGGATTACAAGCGTGAGCCATGTGCGGCCACTTTGTCTTCAATTCTTGCTTCAACCTTTGAATTATTGCTTGAATCTAGCTTTCACATCCAGCATTCCACCGATTCTTCCTTTTTCAGTCATCAGTGACCTCCCCATTCCTAAATGCCGTCATTCATGTCCTGTTCTCATCTTTTTCTTCCTATTGGTAGCATGTAGCATAGCCAATCACTTCCTCTTCTGTTGTCTTGGCTTTTATGACACCCCGTTAACTTTTACATATCTATTCAATCTTCTTGCCACTCTAATCACTTTCTGCTTTCCTATTCTCTTCTGGTGTCTCCAGAACTTTCTGTTCTCTGAATGTGTGAGTGCTCATGGCTCAGTCCTTACACCTCTTCTTGTCTCCTTCCACACCCACTGTCTTTCCTTACTGTCTCATCTCATGGCTTTATGTCCCACCTATTAATACACGGCTCCGTGTCCCCTGCAGACCCCCCTCTGAGGTCTAAAATCCTGTGTCCAGTTGTCTCCAAAACACTCTGCAGGAATATCCCAGCAGGCATCTCCAAGTTATTCAAACCCAAGGAAAGTGTTAGGGAAGCGGCTCATGCCTGTAATCCCAGCACTTTGGGAGGCCGAGGCAGGCAGATCACCTGAGGCCAGGAGTTTGAGACCGGCCTGGCCAACATGGCAAAACCCCGTCTCTACTAAAAATACAAAAAATTAGCCAGGCGTGGTGGAGGGCGCCTGTAATCCCAGCTACTCGGGAGACTGAGGCAGGAAAATCGCTTGAACCGGGAGGCAGAGGCTGCAGTGAGCCAAGATTATGCCACTGCCCTCCAGCCTGGGCAACAAGAGTGAAACTCTGTCTCAAAAAAATATAAATTAATTAATTAATTAATTAAATAAAAGTGACGGCTGGGCGCGGTGGCTCAAGCCTGTAGTCCCAGCACTTTGGGAGGCTGAGACGGGTGCATCACGAGGTCAGGAGATCGAGACCATCCTGGCTAACACGGTGAAACCCCGTCTCTACTAAAAAATACAAAAAACTAGCCGGGCGAGGTGGCGGGCGCCTGTAGTCCCAGCTACCCCGGAGGCTGAGGCAGGAGAATGGCGTGAACCCGGGAGGCGGAGCTTGCAGTGAGCTGAGATCCGGCCACTGCACTCCAGCCTGGGCGACAGAGCGAGACTCCGTCTCAAAAAAAAAAAAAAGTGACTTCCCAAACTCCTCCGAACATGTCCACCCCCTGCAGTCTTGCACATCTCAGCTGAGGGCAACCCTGTACTTCCTGGGGCTCAGCTGAACTTCTTGTCACGTGTAAAATATGTAAGATACTATGTTGTAAGTGTGTTACTTTGTAAAATAAAGAAAAAATTATGCATTTACTTAAAACAGGTGAGGAAATACATGGTTTCATAAATTCTTTTGAGGTATGGGAGAAAGAATGTGTGAAGACCTCTCCTGTGTGATCTGCCCCCTCAGGACCTCTCGGACGTCATCTCCTTCCGGTGTCCGCCCCGCCCCCTCTGCTGCAGCCACACAGGCCCCTTTCCTTTTCCTGGAGCCAAGGTTGCGCCTGCCTCAAGGCTTGCATGTGGGCTGGCCCTCTGCCTGGAACTCTCTGGCCTCTCAGCTGCAAGTGACGAGCAGCCTTTCTTCCTGAGGTCTTTGTTCCGACATCACTTTCTCCGTGGAAACCTTTGTGATGTCCCACAGTCCCCCATTTGACATGGCAGCCCCACCTTCACCCCCACCTCTGGTCCATGTTGCCTGTTCGGTGTGATTCCTTTTGCTCCTTCAATGTCCAGTCTGGATCCTGGTGAGAACAAGTCCCCAGCAGAAGAGCAGAGGCAGAAGGTGGGGCTGTGCTGGGCTCGCCCCCTCAGTGCAGCCCAACCCTGGCTTCACGTTAGAGTGCCCAGGCGTTTTGCAGAAACACCTCTTGTACCCCCTTGACATATTTTCATTTCAGTGTTTTAGAGCCCAGCCGAGTAATATTTAAAGTTGACTCTGTTCTGTAGCCAGCTTAGTACCAATCCCTGTCTTTTGTTTCTGAAGGCTGAGCTCAGCCTGGGATCCACAGAGAGGTGAGGGGGCTGTGTTCTGCATGGGGTTTGGTCAGGGCTGGGTCTGTGCCCTAAAGGGAAGCTCAGTCCAGCCCAGCTCCCCACTGCTGCAGCATGTGAGGGCCTCTCCAGGAGGAGAGCAGGTTCTGAAGAAAGGGGTCGGAAACTCACTTCTTCCTGTAGGAGTTTCTCGTGCCTGTATTCCCCCAGTGCGGTGGGGCGCAGAGGACCGTCTTTCCATAGGGTGAGATCTTCTGTGCGTGTGATTGTGGCACATGAAGGGGAAGTATAGATTCTCAGCCCGAAGCAGCATATTTTGGATATTCAGTATTGACTTCTAAAGATTCTTTTATGTTACCCAAGGAAGAAGCCTGGAAGAAGAGGAAAGGAAAGGAGTCAGGAATGGCCCTTACTCAGGTAAAGTGATATTCCTGGTGGATTGTTCTTTTATTTCTTCCTGAAATGCCTGGTATTGCCGTTGCGAATCTTCTCTGAGTCTGAAGCGTCCTGCCTGACAGGTTTGCTCGCACTCACCCATGCCTTCCCTCAGTCCCTCTCATCTCGCTTAGATTCCGTCTCATCAGGACCCAGTGACGTGAACTTGGGAGGAGGCGGCACCGGGCATGGGCCTGGGAAGGGCTCACACCAGACATGGATGGAGACGGGGTGAGGGTCCCGTGGTGTCAGGGCTGTTGGGCAGCAGGGATTGTTCAGGGGTCACATCTGGATGCACTGTCAGCTCTGTGCAAACCATGATAACAGAAGCTGCCCATGAAGTCAGGTATTACTGTGCACAAGCACCTGCTCACTAGCGTAGAATAAGAACACTAAGAGGAAAGCTTTCCTGCCTCATTTTTAGTGCATTTGAGGCCGAACAAGTGAGTCATTGTGTTTCCGACTCCAAACTCATAAAGAATGGGAACGGAATGGAAAATTTAGACGCTGATATTGGAATTAGATGATTCTTTCATTCCATCATCCAGTTTAATGTATGACATCAACATAAATGGGTAACAAGATTCATTAAACTAGTCTCAGAAACTCTATCCCATGGAGACTGTGATGCTCTTACAAGAAGCTTTGTCCGTCGGGTATTGCAGGTGAGAATGGTATATGGCAGAACAACCTTGCCGTTAGAGAGACTGGAACTGTATTTTTGTTTTACCGGTTATGAGTCAACATTTCGTTTCTTTTATTTTAAACATGGCATCATGTATATATTTGTTTTATAGTGAAACAATACATTTATGCGCCAAGAGGTAAAGCATCCCTTTTCCTGTCCAGCCTTCCACCCTCCCTCACATCTCAGTGGGAAGCCACTGTTCTCAGTTGTGTGGGAAGGGTCAGTGCGAGTCCTGTAGAAATGTATTTTGACATCATTATGAGATTTCAACAAATTCCTCAGTGAATGTTTGGTTGTGTTATGTTAACCTGCAAGTTTTGAACATTGACATGTTTTCGTGTTAGGAAACAGGAGCTCACTTTTCTACATCCTTGTCGGAGCATTCTGGGAATGAAGACAGGTGGATCTTTTAACTTTCTCACTTTTATGAAGAATACCACACAGGGTGCTGCATGGTGGCTCACACCTGTAATCCCAGCACTTGTGGAGGCCAGGGTGGGAGGATCATGAACCCCAGAGATTGAGGCTGCAGTGAGCCATGATAGCACCACTGCACTTCAGCCTGAGTGACAGAACCAGACCTTGTCTCAAAGAGAAGAAAAAAGGTGCCACCCTGGCTGCCTGTGACCATGCCGACTTCACTACAGATCATGGAGGGTTCCTCCGGGCTTGGCGATGGGAAGAGTGATCTCTTCTAGGATGGTGCATTGCCCATGTTGCTAGATCTGCCAAGATTCTATCCCTATTCCAGGTGCAGAGGCGGCCTCTCGCACCAATACCACGTCAGATTTCCCCCTCATTAAGCAAACTTGCCACTGTGTTCATTTTATACTATGAAAATCTGGAGATAATGCACCCCATTGCATTTTCATTTTCTTATTCCTTGTGAGTCTGAGTGGGTTGCATTACTTTGTAGATGTGTATATATGAAATGAATTTTTATATTTTGCTCCATTTTCTGTTCCTGGAATTCAGGAGCTATTTTGTATTCTGCAGTTTATTTTCTTTTTAACTTTTATTACATTTTTTGAGACGGGATCTCACTCTGTTGCTGGAGCGAGGCTGGAGCACAGCGGCTCTGTCACTGACATGCAGGTTCAGTTGCTCGCTGCTTGCAGAGTTCTGTTAACAAGAGCAAGGTCTGGTAGAAAGACAGTGACTTTTTAATTCCAAAGCTAGCTTTGGGGAGGAAGTACAGGCTTCCTGCCTTAAGGTACTGCGTTGCTTTTGGAGCAGAAAGCAGGCGCTTTAAAAAGGGGGGCTTGGCATGAATGGCACGCAGGAGAGGAAGCAAGCAGGTGGGGGTCCCCCTAACTTGCTTCTGTGCCTTAGGTACCGAGGGGTTGAGCTGGCAACCACTGGTGCCTTCGTGGGCAGAACTAGGTTGTAAAAGTGGCTGAAACTCTCCGGGTGGGAGAGAGTGTTGTAGCAGCACTGTGGGTTGTAGACTGATTGCTGTCTCGAGGCAACCTCCTGGCGGGTGAGATTCCCGTCTGGAGCTCCAAGCACATAGATGAACTTGCCCTGTAGACAGTGTCTGGGGAAGGGAAGGTAAAAGGTTATAAGTGTATTTCTAAAGGGCCAAGTAGGAAGTAGGGAACGGGGGGAAATGGAGAAAAGAGAAAATAAGAGAAAAAAATAGCAACTCACCCCCTTTTTCTTGGAAAAACGAGGGTACTCGGTTACAGTACAGTCGTGCCTCACTGTAGCCTTGACCTCCTTGGCCCAAGCAGTTGTCCCACCTCAGTCTCCTGAGTAGCTGGAACTACAGTTGTGTGCTGCCACACCCAGCTAATTTTTTATGTTTTTGTTTTTTGTAGAGACAGGTTCTCACTATGTTGTCCAGGCTGGTCTTGAACTCCTGGGCCCAAGCCATCCTCCTGACTGTGCCTCCTAAAGTGCTGGGATTACGGGCATGAGCCATCGTGCCCGGCTTGGTTTAATTCTTTATATACGCACTGTTGTGTTCCTTCCAATTACACATTATTCTGTTGTAAAAGTAATCTTTCTTTGCTTACCCCTTTCTCAATTATTTGTCTGGTTTATCTTGTTTTGGAAGGCCTTACGAAATGAAATGGTATGCTTTATCTTTATCTACTGCTGGGTTGTTCACATGGCCTTTGTCTTTGACCCAGTTCCTGGCATATACAGCCCCTAAAATCTGTAGAGTTTCCAAAGTGTTGCCTTTTGCATGCTGATGTATTGACTGATAGCTGGCAGCCTCCAACAGGCTTCAGGATAGGGCGCGGGTCACCAGAATCTCCACGGCAAGATTGGAAGATTGGGGCTTTAAACTCCACTCCTCAGCTGCCAGGGAGAGGGAGAGGCGATGAAGGTGGATCACCAGTGGCCAATGGTTTAATCAAGCCTCTTTCATGAAATTTCTATGAAAACCCAAAAGCACACGGTTCAGAGAGAGCTGCAGGATAGGTGAGCATGCGGAGATTCCTGAGGGTAGCATCCCAGGGAGGGCATGGAAGTCGCAGCCCCTTTTCCCATACCTCACTGTCTGCATCTCTTCATATACATTTGTTGTAATATCCTTTATAATAAATGGGTAAATGTACATAAAGTGTCTCCCTGAGGTCTGTGAGGTCTAGCAAATTAATTGAACCCAATGAGGGAATTACAGGAACCCTGATTAATAGTCTTGTCAAAAGCACAGGAAAAACAACCTGGGACTTGCTATTGGCACCCAAAGTGGTACTGAACCCTCAACCTATGGGATTTGACACTGTCTCCAGGTCGATGGTGTTGAAACTGAACTGGGGTTGGAGGACACCCAGGCGGTGCCTGCTGTACAAGTGATTGCTTGCTGGTATGGGGGGAAACTATACATCTGTTTATATATTTATTTGTTTGTTTATTGTTTTGAGACAGGGTCTCACTCTGTTGTCCAGGCTGGAGTTCAGTGGTGGGATCACAGCTCACTGCAGCCTCGATCTCTGGGGCTCAAGGGATCCTCCCACCTTAGCCTCTGGACTAACTGAGACTATAGGCATGCACCACCATGCCCAGCTTGATTTTTTTGTAGAGATGAGGTTTCATTGCATTTCCCAGGCTGGTTTCCTGAGCTCACGCAGTACTCCTGCCTTGGCCTCCTAAAGTGCTGGGATTATAGGCGTGAGCCACTGTACCTGGCACATCTGATTTTAGAAGCATTTTCTGAGATTATAGTAGGAAAAACAATTTGATTTTTCCACAGAATGTGTCTTATGAATTTGAATGTGTGTACATTGGTACGTACTTTATTTGATTCATTTTATACTATTTAGATTCAGGGGGTACACATGAGATTTCTTACGTGGGCATATTTTGTGATGTTGAGGTTTAGTCTTCCAAAGATCCTATCACCCAAGTAGTGAACATAGTACCCGATAGATAGTTTTTCAGCCCTTCCCCTCTTCCTTCCTGTTCCTTTTTGGAGTCCTCAGTGTCTGTTGTTCTCATCTTTGTGTTCTTGTGCACCCAGTGTTTAGCTTCCATCGTGAGAATGTGCGGTATTTTTCTATTTGTGCATTAATTCGCTAGGGATAATGGCCTCCAGTTGCATCCATGTTGCAAAGGACGTGATTTTTTTTTTTATGGCTGTATAATATTCCATAGGGTATATGTCTACTATATTTTCTTTATCTGATCCACTGTTGATGGTCACCTAGGTTGATTCCATGTCTTTGCTATTGTAAATGGTGCTGCAATAAACATATGAATACAGGTGTCTTTTTGAGAGAACAATCTATTTTCCTTTGGGTACATATCCAGTAATGGGATTGCTGGGTTGAACTGTAATTCTGTTTTCAGTCTTTGAGAAATCTCCGAACTGCTTTCCACATGGTCTAAACAAATTTGCATTCCCGTAAGTGTATGAGTGTATAAGTGTTTCCTTTTCTCTGAAGCCTTGTCAATATTTGTTATTTTTTTGACTTTTTAATAATAGCTATTATGCCTGGTATGAAATGGTGTCTCATTATGGTTTTGATTTGCATTCTCTGATGATCAGGGTGTTGAGCATTTTTTCATATGCTTGTTGGCCAATAGTACGACTTCTTTTGAGAAGTGTCTGTTTATGTTATTTTCTCACTTTTTAGTAGGGTAATTTGTTTTCTTCTTGTTGATTTGCTTATGTTTCTTATAGATTCTGGATATTAGTCATTTGTCAGATGCGTAGTTTGCAAGTATTTTCTCCCATTCTGTAGATTGTTTATTTTGTTGATAGTTTGTTTTTCTGTAACAAGCTCTTTAATTAAGTTCCACTTGTCTGTTTTTCATTTTGCTGCATTTACTATTGAGGTCTTCATCAATTCCTTGCTTAGGCCAAAGTCTTCTAGAATTTTTATAGTTGGAGGTCTTATATTATTTAATCCATCTCAAGTTAATTTTTTTTATATGGTGAGAGATAGGGGTCCAGTTTCATTCTTCTGCAGATGTTTAGCCAGTTTTCCCAGCACCACTTATTGAATAGGGTATCCTTTCCTCATTGTTTATTTTTGTTGATTTTACTGAAGATCAATTGGTTGGAGGTGTGGGCCTTTATTTTAGGGGTCTCTGTTCTATTCCATTGGTATATGTGTCTGTTTCTGTACCAGTACCATGCTATTTTGTTTATTGTAGCCTTGCAATATAGTTTGAAGTCAGGTAGTGTGACGCATCCAGCTTTATTCCTTTTGCTTAGGACTGTCTTGGCTCTTTGAGCTCTTTTTTTGCTTTCATATACATTTTAGAAGGTTTTTCTAATTCTGTGAAAAGTTATGTTGATCATTTAATAGGAAATACTGTTGAATCTATAGATTGCTTTGGGCAGTTTGGACATATCAATGATATTGATTCTTTCAACCCATGAGCATGAAATGCTTTTCCATTTGTTTGTGTTGTCTCTGATTTCTTTCACTGGTATTTTGTAGTTCATAGAGATAGTTCACCACCTTGGTTAGACATATTTCTAGGCATTTTTGGGGGTGTGTGGCTATTTTTAATAGGATTGCATTCTTGATGATGTGTTTCTCAGCTTGAACGTTACTGGCGTTTAAGAGTGCTGCTGATTGGGCCGGGTGCGGTGGCTCACACCTGTAATCCCAGCACTTTGGGAGGCCAAGGCAGGCCTTTTTTTTTTTTGAGACAGAGTTTCGCTCTTGTTGCCCAGGCTGGAGTGCAGTGGTATGATCTTGGCTCACTGCAACCTCTGCCTCCCGAGTTCAACTGATTCTTCTGCCTCAGCCTCCCGAGTAGCTGGGACTACAGGCACGCATCACCATGCCTGACTATCTTCATCATTCTTCTATTTCATTTTCTCCTTTTATTTTTTATATTTTTAGAGACAGGGTCTCACTTTGTAGCCCAGGCTGGAGTACAGTGGTGTGATCATAGCTTACTGCACCTTCAACCTCCTAGGCTCAAATGATC